AGTCCGTGGCCTGTGCATCGGTTTGTAAAGCATATGGTGAAGATTTGCGCGGTTTTCTGGTTTTAAAGGGCTTTGACCTCGTAGGCTTGGAAAGGAAATGGCTAGGAAATCACTTGAATCACTGAATCACAATCACTCAAGTCAACTTAGGAAACACGAAATTCGTTAAGTGTCAACGTTGCCAAATACCGGAGGAGAACTGGGCTCCTACCTGGCCAACGAGTGGTCACAGCGAAACAAAACAAGTACGTTTAGACCTGGCAAGAGACGAACAGTTGCATCGTGGAAGGCGTTTGGCAGTGTGTGCTGCGGCACGTGCGTACACTCGTGTAAAAATCACCGATGCGGTTTCTGTTAGGCGTTCTGCAGGATTGATGTCAGACCTCCGCAGTCCCATCAGTCACGTTACTGATGACGTTGCAGGCGGCGCTCAGAATTCTGTCAGAAAAAAAATCACCAACATGGCAGGGCAGGGCAGCGTGCCTCCACAATAATGCTCGAATGCTTGTCATCCATTAGCACACTTTCACATGTAAACATTTTCGGAAGGCGAAATAATTAGGAGGTAGATGACAACGCATAGAATGAACCCTGCCGCCATCTCTCCGCCTGGGTTTCTTAATGCTGTACACACGGGCACATTTTTGAGTACCTAAGCGTAACGCGAGCTATACTGCCCATCAGCAGAGCTTCCAAAAGGAAATTTCCGAGAAACATGTCTAGTGTTGAGTGGATTTTTCCATAACAGTCTTTTCAAAAATGTCGACTGACGACACGCAAGAGTTCCCTTGCTTGCCTTCTTTGCCATGTGGTTCTTGCAATCATATGCACCCCACAAATGAACACTTGGGAATGTTCATGATCCCTCTGAATAAAGATTAACGCAAAGAGGAACTCACGAACAATCTTGGAGCTTTATTTGTAAGATGTGATTAGATTTTATTTAACACTAAATCTGAAGGCAGTTTATTTCGCGAGCAAATTTACGCGTCGCACAAACATGGCTTATAATGGTTTGTAAATAACAGCATTGTCGTTGACTTCTGGTACAGTTTCACGTCTTCAGTCTAAACGTCACATCTTTCTTACGTCACGTTACGTGAGATCAGGCCAGGTAAGGTCGTATCTTCTGTGCAATTTCGTTGCTTGGAGCCGGGCCGACCAATGCCACGTGTCACGAATTAAACTGTCACTGTTTCTGTCACTTTGCTGTCAACTTTGCAGCGAGACTTGTCATTGTAGTACAGCGCTGTGAACATATCTCACCAACCCTCACCTCGTTGGAATAGCTGGGTGCGAGTGAAGTGGTGCATCAGCGAGGTTGCTTCAAAACGTTTGCGCGCTATATGAGCACGACTGCTCGACAGGCCCCAGAGCTCCTTTTGTTAGTCGTTCCCAGATCTCCCAGAGAGGTACGAGAGCTGTCGCTGCGGCAGAACTGCAGCTGCAGAGATTTCTCCTGGCAGCCACGCAGAGATCATTCTCCTGTTAGGCCGCGCGCACGGGGATACCATCCTGGCTGCCATACCTAGGTGCAAAGTCGCGAGGGGTTCCTACGCGCCATGGGCCAGCCAACATCAATGGTAATCGAAAATCCGTGCTGTTTTTTTGCATGCATCGCGATTGTCACCGGTTTTATTGCGTATGTATGAATGCCTGTCACTTTTCCTTGTCTTACTTCTCACTCATAGTTGCATTGCTAAACAAAGCAGCTTTGGCAATACTCATTCCTTGAAACACAAACTTTATGCACGAACCAGGTTCACTTATCTTCATCTCCCAATATTTAAGGCACGGAATAAGCAAATGCCGCAATATCGGCCATAACCACAGGTCTGCCCGCCCACGGCGCTCGCGTCACTAGTGACATCTAGCCTGTGGAAGCCGCGTGCCTACCGACTTGTAGAGTATCGCAGGGCATAAATATGCTAACGCGCTACGTTTCACGTAAAAAGCAAGTCAAACAGAGGATTTTTCATATCCTAAGTAATTTACCTGCCTGACAAATGCCACATGACATCCAGAATCGGCAACAGGTGAATTTCACATTATGTCAAAACTTCTCTTGGACATGGTGGATAAGTGTTTTCAAAACATTTTAGGAACGCGAACTCACAGTGCCATACCCTTGTTGTTAGGGCGTCCCGCACTCTGGCGACTGTACAATGGGTCGATCATGGCCATGGAGCTGGTGTCACCTCGACGGATGTACACAGACTGCAGGATTCTCACACCACGCTACACAGACTCCAGCATTCTCACATCATGCTGCACAGACTCCAGGATTCTCACATCAGGCTGTACAGACTCTAGTACTCCTACATCACGCTATAATAGCATTACGCCTGGACCCACCGAGCTGGCACAAGGTGGTGTAGCAGGAAAGCTGCGACCAGGCAGTTCGAGTGACCTCGAGCCGTAATGGCCCGGTGATATGCCATGCTGGCCGTTCTTTCATGGGGCCGAGGCGGTGTCCAAGCGTTCAGCCATTTGTTCTTTCGTCAGGAACATTTGATGTGGCCTGGCAAAGGGAAGCGTGCATTTCAGCTGGATGTGCCGCTATACTTAGTGAGACGTCCGAGCGACACGCCGCTCGTGCACAGCTATAATGGGAGGCTGGGGATCTGCGAGCATATTCCATTTGCAGACTACGTGGATTATTATGACGTTTCGTACGCCAACTGCAGCTATTTAGCGTCAATGCATATGCAGGAGAGACACGAAACAAAGCGCGCGCCCGGCATTAGCATACGGACATGTCCGTTCGGAAGTCCTGATGCGCATTTCCATTGGAGCTTCGGCCTCCAGTAGCAGGATATTGCGTCAGGGGAACACGTTTCCGCGTTGTCACGACCGGACCCGATGGGCTCGGGGCGACGTTTGGAGCATGACCGCCGCGGACTTCCGCTGGCGCTCGCGCGGAGCCCCGGCTGCATCGACCTCAGGCGGTGCACCGGCTCACGTACATGCTATTGGCGTTGTTGCTCGCCGCCACGACATGCACTGCACGCTGGCACGGAACCGACCGCGTGTCCATCCGAGGCGCCTGAACCACTGTGGGTGGCAGGAGGGGTGGCGACCCGTGTTCACCTGCACCGCTGCCATTGAAAGAGTGGTTAAAATTCAAGTAGTGTCTCTTGAAATGCAATCTAAAGGCGAGGCAATGATACTAAATACTGCTGGTGAATAGGTGCATACATTCTTAAATATCTGCTGCCGCTGGCCGATCCCGTGCATGGCGGGCGAGCAGATGGAAGACTGGGTCAGCGAAGCCCCCTTTTTGCATCGGCGACACTGAAACCGTCGACAATCTCCACCATCCAGGTGTTAGAGCTCGTGAGCAAGCAGTGGCCGCTGCTGCCTCCGGTACGCGACCCGAACCATCGTAAACCACGGCGTAAATGCCAACGCGTCAGGGTCCGTCATGAATAAACCCGGCCATGTCGACCGTAACAGCCTCTTACCTCGTCCCCACAAATGATGCATGGCGACACCTGCCACAGCTGATCGGGGCGCGCCGCCAGCGGCCCGCGTCCGTCGGCGGTGTCGATCCGCGCTTCGCCGCCGAGGGGCCGCGACGCTGACCCCTAAACACGTCCTGCGGCCAGACCGTCGGCCGCCCCGCGCGACGGGCGCGCTCGAGGGCGAAGCGCCGCCTGCGGCCACCTGGCGAAGGCGGCGCCTGCTGGGCGGCGCCGGGCCAGGTCGCAGGGCGCGCTCTCGTCATGCGAGGTGATGCATTCGACGCCGGTTGAGTGGGTTGAGCGAGACCCACTGTCTGTTGTCTGAGTCATAGCCTCTCCGGTACTCGCCCGGAGTGTCGGAGACAGTCGAAATCATCAGCGTCGCGTCATTAAAGTGAGGACAATTAGGCTGAGTGGAACTGGCCGAGTCCATATATTGTTGAGGGAGAATATGGGACAGCTATCATGCCGTCCTGAAAAAGTGCCCATGCAGCAGAGGGCGAGCGCCCGCTCCCAGTATGGGAGAAATGAGCCATTCTGCTGCCATGCGGCTGTTCTGACGCACCACTAGCGCCGGCTGCGTCACTGACGGCATCCACGGCGGCGAGACCGACACAAATGTGGGGACGGCCTGCCAAATGTGACGCCTTCGATGAGAGCTCTTCAGAGCAGCGGTAAGCAGCGACTGTGAAAATCCAGGCCTGGCTTACAGTGATGTCCTTAGCCGTTTCCATTGCAAAAGCGGCCCCCATTGATTTCAGTTTTGCGATGTTTTAAGAGTTTTCGGAGGCATCTGCCGAACTTTTGTATGCGTCGTACTTAATTTTGACCGATGGAGTTTGAAATATTATTGTATGTAACCGATAAATTTAAAGCTTTTTTAGGTGAGGTCATTGACTTGACCTGGTTTTTAGGGCTTGCACGATGGAAGTATAGAAAACTCATGCGTTATGACGTGGTCTCTGCTGGGTACGAACCACATTTTCATATTCTTTTTGACTAGTATTTCCGAAGGCTGAAGGCTGTTTATAAACATTTTGACTTAAGTCTTCACACCAAGTCCATAATAATGCTCGTTACCTTGACTGACGTCACTGGGGATGAAGATCAGCTGAGGCCAGATCATGAAAATACTATCGGCATAACCTTAGCACAGACTTGATCGTCGACCAAAGCAAAAGGACCACATTCCGGCTGCTTTGGTCACTTCTTTGTGATCACTGTAACATGTATCACTGTAACATGTATCAGTGATTATGTAAGCGTCTTGTAAGGTCAAAACCACATCAGGTGAATTATTTGAAACTAGTCCTCCAACACCTGTAACAAACTACCTTTCCTCACTTTGTTAGCCTCATTCGTTTGCTTACTGCCGTTTGAAATTTAAGTGTTAAATCCGATGGGCAATTCCGCTCTGATGGTATACATAGGTCAAATTGTTAATTCACGCTAACTGAAAAGGCCTCGTTCGCACCTCTCCCCGTCCGTGTGCTGGGATGTCCTTGACCCCACTGACGTCGCGGGCGTGTCCGGCAGGAGCGGCGATGTCGTCCCAGGTGAGAAGACACCGGCCGGCCGCGGACAACCCGTGGGTGTGCCCCAACGACCGCCAGCTGGCGCTCCGGGCCAAGTGAGTGCCGCTCCGCGCCGCCGGCGCCCCTCGGCCGTGTCCGGTGGCCGCCTCGCTGGCCTGGCGGGCCAAGTCACCCGGCCACCCTGTGCAGCCGGTGGTCGGGCGACGTCGGCGCGATGGGAGAAGCGGGGTCACTGACAGACTGGCAGGCAACCAAACGGTGACTGGGTACTCCATGCATAGACGGTTAGCTGATGTCATTGATGTTGAAATGAAGTGGCTGAATGTGATTGGTTGTAATGTGTAAAAGTAGAGACAGACGCACGCATGCGACGCTATCGGTTTTATTTTCCACCAAACACGTACTTGGTATGCCTGGTAAGTATCAAGGTTCTCTAGAGCGAAACTGTATATCCAACCATTTTAAAATCGCACTAGTTAAGCGCACAGGGGCCTAAAACGAACCAATTTCATCAAAGACGTCGATTTAACGTCGCTGTTGAATAGAACGAATTGTTCAAGCTAAGTGATGCATGACCCAATACGCTCTTACTACGCAGTTACGCACTGGGCGCATTTTCTTCCATTTACTGTATGGGATTTGGGAAACAATTTACCATGGGACGGGTGGCCTTGTCACTGGCTGAAAGCCGCCTGCTGTGTCCACAGCCGTGGGCGTGGCGCAGAAACGCGGCCAAATTAATCATGTTTGCGCACACACTTGAGCGGTGACCTCAGAGGAGGAACAACAAGCCGTACTTAGTGAGAGCTCTGAATCACAACAGGATCCGCCTCAGTGGCCCGAAATACATGCATGGTAACGGAACAGATGATATCGCCCGTTCTATCCGCCGAAACCGTTTCCATTCCCGTGAAGGAGGCTTCGATGCGATCCATTCCCTCTTGGGAATTTACGACGAGCAAGACGGAGATGGAATCCCATCGAAATGTCGCTGCGCGCGGCAGTCGGCTTGTGGCGAGATCACAGCTGGCACACCTTTCCCGCGGCGTCCAGCCGATCTATTATTCACGGTGGCATTGGATACGTTTCAGCAGTTCGTCGCACCCGAAGGTGCGACCGGCGTAGCGACTCACAGGCTGAGGACGTCCTCCAAGTTCCAGAGATTCTAATTCTGGGAACATCCCCAGCAGTGCTTCGCTGTATTGCATGAGTGACGAGGAAGTGCCACTGGCTGCTTATCTCTGGATATGAGATTCATTTGTATGCAGCATTTCTTAGTATCTTTGTCCTCATTTGTTTGCTTCAACCTGCTTGTGTTGCAGCCGCCGATGCAAACGGAGCAATCAATGTCCTGGCCCGCGCCACACCGCGCTAAAACTTACCATTGACTGTCGTTGCAGAGCCAGTGGCGTCTGTCGTACTGCACTTGGGTCCATTGATGTTCGAAATTGGACCGCTGTCTAAGCTCTGGGGATGCTGGGCAATGTCACTGGCCGGTCATCATTCGGTACTGCCGTCGTGTCTTGTTCCAAGGGCAATGCTGCTGCAAATAATCCACTCCTCAGCTAGCCACGGTGGTGTCGCCAGGCTGCCGCCGAGGAGGGAGCCGAGTCAGTTCAGAGGGACCTTTCTAGTTGAGGGGCTGTTTTCACGCTTGACGGTCGGGTTGTTGGATTTGGGTGGCAGCTTTAAGTTCAGGATCTTATTTGCATGCATCGGGACAAGTTTGTCATCCTTTAGAAGTTCTACTGGTGTCTCAAACTACCAAAAAGTAACTGGGACCTTTTATTCGAGCCACCCAATTTACGCACTTTAAGTATACGCCATTAAAAAAGCTCTACCAGAACTTTGACGGAAGCTTTTCACGCAATCAAAACTCATATTCCCAATGGGCTGCCAGATATTGAAGGCCATCAAGCGACACTGTGAAAAGACGACAGCAATTTTCTCTGCTTCTTGGATTATTTATTTTGCCATCGGCCAGGACTGAAAATTCGCAACATTCGCAACAGTGGAGTGGCGGCGCGCAGGTGAACGACGCACTTCCCGCCAGGATCGCGGTCAGGCACAGACGGGGGTGAAACAAATGGCGCGGACCTGCACTCTAAACCCGTGGCCACGATGCCGCATAACCTATACTACTTAGAAAGCGGTACGTATATCATTCCAACCCCAGTGGTGCGAGCGTAGTGGTGCCAAAATATCCCTTGTATGACGTAAGAACAGACACCCGGAGCACCGAATGAGGCCTGCTGCGGTCCACACGTTCTCAACGAAACAAGACCGCTGATTCGCGCAGAAGTACTAGAAAGGCGAGACTAACAAATTGTGTCTATGTCAAACTCCCGTTCAAAGATCGAAAACTATAAACTGTGAATGTAGCCGTTGCATGGAGTGGCTTGAATCGCCGTTGAGTAGCAAAGACCAATGGTCCTATGTTAAGGTTCGGGCTATTTCGATCAACCCTCGAGACCTCAACCTGAACAGCTGGGATTGGGGTTTACCAAGCATGTGTTAAATGACTGAAAAGCAAACGTGCGCGAAAGGACGTAGCATATAAGATCTCTTGTAATTTATGCCAAGGGAGATCTTGTGTAAGGAGACCGAAACATAGTGCCCCTGGCTAATTTCATGAATACCTTGGAGACAAAGGCTTACGAGGAGGAAGGTTTATGAGGTAATGATAAGTTCACTCCACTTGGTGAACAAGTGGTAGAACAGTGGGACATTGACACGCAACGACGGACCATGGTGCTTCAAACGCCAAGTTTAACGCAATGATTTAAGCAGCAGCAAAATCCCAGGATATTACAACCGTTGTGAATTCGGAATCGTTGTACCTTTGTCGTAGATCGACTTTGGAACGTAGCTTTGGTATTTAGTTTCAGCAACGTTGTTTACGTTATGTGCATTTAAAGATAGTTATCTGGCCGATGTTATGAGCACTGTTTCTCACCGACAGTTATCTTCCTGTCTATGCTCAATATGTGGTTTGGGGCTTTGCTGCCTGTATTTCTGGCAGCCATTAGTACAACGCTGCATGTTGGGTGTCAGGCCGCGTCAGAGACTGAATGACAGGAATGCTTGTAATATTTGTGCAGTGTCACGGAAATGTGATGCTCGTGAGAAATAAGGATCGAAACTTATACTCAGCACCGTATAAGACCATTACATATAAAACCGGCAGCTTAATGTTTATAAAAAGTGCCGCCACGGATTGCAGCCCATTTTTTACCCGATCCAGATGTCACATATTTCTTGAAAACCATGTCAGCGTTTACAGACTAGTCCAGTAAGTGACGAATTTTACATGGCATTAACATGTTAGGTACCTGCAAGATATTGTGTGGTACAAACCAATCTGAAAGTAATGCGTAAGTTTTCAGGTGGATGCATACAGCGCATTGATCTCTTTCAGACTGGTAGATTCCGATATTCTTAGGCTAGGTATGTTGGTGAGCACATAGCAGGTTGAAATATACTTGGCAGCGAAATGCCATCGAATCAGTCAGGATAGTACAAGCCAAATAACTAGCTATTGTTACTGACGTCTGAAGAAACAAGCAGAAACTTGCATTTCACGGGTCGCTGACCCCACCGCCAATGTCCAAAAGCAAGAACAGTAACTCGTAAAATAATTCGAAATGGTGATGATTCAAGTAACACCGCACGACCAAAGCAGTGAAATTCGCAGGCTTTTGATCCAATGCATACTTGTCAGAACCAACACAGGCCGGAAAGAGAATATCGGCCCTCAACTTGGGAGAGCTTCCGGTGCCCACGACCATGGCGAATACGGTTAGCGTTCTCTTTGATGTTTTGTACTCCCTGCTCGCTTAGCCAGAACGTGTGCACGCGTTCGACAATATGGGGTCTCTAAGGTTAAAGGGGCCCGTCCGCCACATTATGAAAGGTGTGTGGAACGCTTCCCGACGTTCCCCACGTCGTCACGAGTCCCACTTTGTGCCCGAGACTTGAGGTTGAGTCAAAGTCTCAAACTGCATCCGTGTCTGAATCCTTAAGCCCTGAGGTCGAGTCCATCGCTTCATCCGGGATCCCACAAGACAGCAGTCTGATACCAAATCACCGGGGGTGGAAACAACTAGGAATAAACATCATAGAATAGCAAACTCATAACTCAATGAACCTACCCAAACTAGGGCAGAACCAGGCCTTTATCAGGCCTTCACCAGGCAAGCTCACACCTTAATCGACGCCCTCAAATCAGAACCGCAATTAGTGCACTTACCGAGTCAGCATCGACCCGGTCAATTGCTGGCGTACGACGATGATACCATTCATTACGAAGTTGCAGTGGTCAGTACTAAAACTGATGGTGCCTAACACGGAGCACTTTACAAATATTTCGAATCGCGACATCCGTGAAGGCGTGACCTAGATATCCTGGTTGATGACCCGACGCCCTTTGGAACTAGTCTGTCTTTTGCCGGTTGTTGTCTTGCTGGTTTGTCAGTTGGTTTGTGTGCGGAAAGCAGAAGAGAGAAGCACACATTGGACTCTAGAGCGTGCAGAGAAGGCATGTTTCCGACCCTCACGTGGACAGGCACAGACACATGCATGCAAGAATAGTAACAGCGGCAACCAAACAGCAAACAACATGCATGTAAGATAAGCTGGATAGCAACTCCGGTACAGTCCTAATTGCATGAACAGGCCAGCTGTTAGACTTTTATGTAATCGTGCTCAGCTCATGATAAATTTTTACCAGAGCCAGCTTCGGTCGGCAGTGAACGACCCACAGATCTTGCTGCTAGATGCGCTTTTACATTCGTGATAAGGTTCAAGGTGCCCTCGCCTTTTGAACAGGGCTGGGCATCCCAGGGGGAGTTCCGGAAATCCCCAGATTACAAACATCACTTTCGGCGCATGACATACTTGTCTTTGGACCCGAAAACGCTCTGGAGCCCAGAGCTTTGATGAGATTTCCAGCGATGCTGGCTGGTGTCGTGGGGTCCAACGCGTGGCATGTGGCCAGATTGCTCAACAGTACACTGACGCGACCATAGCATAGATGGTCCACCTAGTGTTCATTATCATCGTCCTATTTGCATGACATTTGCTCAGCAAGTGCAGCCCAAAACTGTGCGTGCTGGCCGTCCACCTCAGTAGCAATCGACCACACTGCCGGCTTCATCACCGATTGGCGCGTTATTCGTGAGCATTAGCTATACTCTGTGCAAGGTTTTAACCATTGCCCTGAATCGCCGTTTTTTCGTAACACGGTCTCATAGGGGAGGGATTGATGCGACGAAATCCGTTTCCGGGTTAAGAACGATAGAGGTCAGCGGAAAACACCAGTCGATTAGTCTCAAGAAGATCTCGCGATTACTAATAATTGATATGTCGACCTCATTACGCCAGGTCAAAGGTAAGATTTCTCCGAAAATGGCACATTTCAGCTCTACAACCTCGTCCCCACGTGATCATGGCTCATAGCGACACAAAACCTAAACAAGCATGATCCCTGTTCACTTCTGAGCAGAACTGTGTGCGGATGTATGTGTATGAACCATATATTGATGTTCCGCTACTCTGTTAAAGAGAGTGTCCCACATTCGTATGGGGTTTTGACCTCAATTTGCCATCTTGCAGATCATTCGGTGCGGCTTACAGCCCTGCCCTGCATAACATCTGAACCCCTCTAGTTTCTGAGCTACACACCTGCAAAGATGTGCAGATGATTTCGAGGAGACTATTTCAAGGTTCCCCAGCCATCCGTGACGCCATTATAACGCCATTCCAATCTTCCCATTCCATTGGTCACGCGGCGATCAAGGCCAATACAAATATAATTGTCGAATCGGAATATCTGGCATTCGTGGGCACGATTTTCAATTACAACGGCTGTCAACTGGCTCTCAATCAATGTTGTGTAAGGCACGATGACGTAATACAACGATGACGTATTGAGAAGCATATGCACTTCTTAAGGTATACGAATAGCTATATAAGTGAGCTTATTTTATCACATCTGATGATTGCTTCGACATCTTCAGGTGTTAAGCTTTCACTTTAATGTAACAACGTCGGCCCGCCGTGTTTGTGTTTGCTACCTTCGTCGTTCACACAACAGCGCCACTGAGCGTATTGCCACATCGAATAGAAACGTTGGTTGACAGTGTATATGTGTCTGGGATAAACGATCGTCACACCAGCTGGCCCGCTCGGTTAAGCGTCGATTTTGACCGACGGTTTCCAGGCGTCAACGGATTACGAGTGAAGCACAATACAATAAGCCAGTCGCCCGCCAAACGACGGCAAAATGGGCAGCGTGAATAAAAAACAGGGTTTACACATAACGAAAACAAATTCCAACAGATGATACAGATGAATGATCGCTGAGCACGGTATCCAACATCGGCAGGAAATTTTGCACTGGGAAGTTGCATTTCATCTCTGGTGAAGTTGAACACAGCATTCAAAGTCGCTGCCCCACCATGATTTAATCGTTCCTATGCAGTCTAGCCAAATCAATTGCGAAAATAGCCCGAAAGATCATCTGATTTGACCCAACAGAGGCAGAACACTGCTGAAGGCCACCAGAAGCTGAGGGGAGACAGTGCGGCATGGCCTTAACCTACGCCCTGAGAGGGGGTCGATGCGACCCCACCCCTTCCAAGGTTTTTTTGAAGAGACCTCTCTGGCATGTTAAACAATGGTGTGCAATTCTTGCACACGCGAGTGTCCAGCCTTTGTTGCACTTTTCACTCATTGTTGGATCGTGCGCGTGCGATTTCATGAGTGATACTAGTTTTCTCGAAATCTTTCTAATTAGCTCGCCATTTCGCTTTGAGGAAGCCGCTCCTGCGGGAAAAATCTCATTTAACTCCCCGCTCACTGCCATGAAAGTAATACATTCCATTTGCTTTTTCAATCTGTGTGTTCTGTAATGTTTGCAACGTACTAATGTGTCAATATTTGTGTAAGAAATGCTACGAAGGCTTGAACCACTTTTCAAGGCGCACTTTGGCTTTGTGAATGGCAGCATCACATGGTCCATGGCGACGCACTCGTTCAAACTTCAACCAATCCGCATCTCGGTGACAGGCCTATGCTGCCCGCTAGGCCAATCACAAACGTTTTTTTTTTGTCGCACCGGTGAAGGTGCGCACGGCGATTGTCATGACGACGGCGGTCGCGATTGCAGGGTAGAAACGTTGTGGTATTGCAAAGCATCAACAGCGTAATTTGGACTCTAGAATTATCGAAATTAACATCCTTTATTTTGCATTGACGGTACTGCAGCGACACTACTCAATGCTTTTATTGACGTAACTGGTCCTGACGTTTCACTAAAGTATGCTTGTGAGATATGCCCTATACGTGGAACACCCACTTTGAAGGGAATTTTCCATATTTAGATGGGGTTCTGAACCGAAGAAGCCATCTGGAAGACCTTTTGGTCTTGTTTACAACCATGCACTTCTTAAGACCCAGGCCCCTCTCGTTTCTGAGCTACACGCCCGCGAAAATGGAAAACGTTATATCAGGGAGAATATTTCAAAGTTACCTTGGCATTCATGACGTCATAATAACGCCATTTTAATCCTGCGAGCCATTTAATTAATTTAATCCCTAAGGCATGCAATGATCAAGGCCAAACAAGATATAGTTGTCGAGGCGTTCATATCTGGCGTCCGTGAGCGCGATTTGCAGATGTAACGGCCGCCATTTGGCTCTCAATGTTGTGCAGAGTACGGTGGCGTAATCAAACCATGACGCATTGCGGAACATATTTACTAAACAAAGAATTGTGCTGTCTGGGGCAGTCTTTTCCACGTAAAATTATCCCAATAGTTATAAGTGAGCTTGCTTCACGACATCCGATCCTTGCTTCACTATGTTCAAATGTGAAACATTCCCCTTGGGTAAACTTTATAGATGGCCAAAATGCCGCTCAGACGTCAAAACTGGTCATCAAAGTTCAGTCGTGAATTTGTGCGACCATGTGATGAACCATTTCACTGTTTCCAGCCTGCGGTTTTGATAGTGAGGGACAAAGGCCGGTGTAGCTGTATCGCTGTGTCCAGGGTTATGTCTGGTCAGTGATCACGAAAGCTAAACAGCATATAAACTGCCGTGTGTTGCTTGTGCTCTGTCCTCAGACTGAAGTAGGGCTGGTCAGTGAAGACCAGCAGTCCGCGCACACTGTCATGTGACATACATTGTTCCTATCCCCAGACTGAAGTCGGGCTGGTCAGTGAAGACCAGCAGTCCGCGCACACTGTCATGTGACGTACATTGTTCCTATCCCCAGACTGAAGTCGGGCTGGTCAGTGAAGACCAGCAGTCCGCGCACACTGTCATGTGACGTACATTGTTCCTATCCCCAGACTGAAGTCGGGCTGGTCAGTGAAGACCAGCAGTCCGCGCACACTGTCATGTGACGTACATTGTTCCTATCCCCAGACTGAAGTCGGGCTGGTCAGTGAAGACCAGCAGTCCGCGCACACTGTCATGTGACGTACATTGTTCCTATCCCCAGACTGAAGTCGGGCTGGTCAGTGAAGACCAGCAGTCCGCGCACACTGTCATGTGACGTACATTGTTCCTATCCCCAGACTGAAGTCGGGCTGGTCAGTGAAGACCAGCAGTCCGCGCACACTGTCATGTGACGTACATTGTTCCTATCCCCAGACTGAAGTCGGGCTGGTCAGTGAAGACCAGCAGTCCGCGCACACTGTCATGTGACGTACATTGTTCCTATCCCCAGACTGAAGTCGGGCTGGTCAGTGAAGACCAGCAGCCTGCAGACGTTCCGGAAGCCGGCGCCCTTAAACGAGCGCGAGCAGCACGTCATCGTCAATGTCATCCAGAAGGCCGAGTCGTTCGAGAAGAAAGAGCAGCTGCGGATCGGGTGAGGCGTGCCTGGAGCGGACTTTCGAAACCTTGCTGTGCCACCGGCCCACCACGTACCGCGCGAATTAACGTATCGATGGCACGCTACTTTTGTGGCCAGACCTGTAGTGAAGGGGGGAACTTGTCTCGCATACTGTTTGGTAGCACTCTGAGCTCGCGACAATGTGGGGTTTTTGCGAACATGTCTTACCACATAACGAGCTCCATTTTTTATCGTCGTTTATCATGCTTAACGTTATTAGATTCCCTTATTGCCTTCATCTGAAAGCCATGATTTTTGTACGGCACCTCGAAGCTTTTATGGGGCCTGAAAGTTGTTGTTCTCTTTTCTTGATAACCAATTTCGTCATTTTGCTCAAAAAGGCACGCAACACGCCGTGGGAAAACAGCACACGTTGTTCAACGTCCCTGAGGAAATGAGCCCCATAAATTGCTCCGCTGCGCTAAAGCGGCATTTCATCACACAAAGCTAGCTGAAAGCGGAGTGAGCTGGGCGATAGGCACTAGGCATTGCATGCATGATGTTATTTTGATGAGAATTATGTTGGGTTACCATCTTGCAATTGTTTCATTCCCGTCTATTCGAATTAATTGCTTGGATATGCCTTTCGCCGTCATATCTTGTTTGAAATGCTCGTTATTATTCTTAATTTCTTTACGTTTCCCGTAGTGTGTCCCGCTCCGTTAAAGGTAAAAGGCTTGATTGTGTTTATGCCCACCAGCTGCAGTTCTCGACGCGGTATTGGAGATGCCATTTGTTTTTGTATTTGTTTGCTCGAAAGCCATCCACGAGGTGGCTTTTTATATCTCCAGCTCATTACAACATTCGCCGGCTTCAATTCCTCACATCATTCACTCACTCGTTACAGCACATTACAAAAATTATATAAAGGACGATACTACAAAATATGCTATAGAACACAATATTATGGACGTGGCTGTAGAATAGGATGTTGTAAAATACGATACGATAAAGTGCGGTACGATACAATATTACACGACAGAATACGGTACTATTAAATAGGTACAAAGTCAAACAATGAATCCGATAAATGTTCCAAATTGACAACAGAATGTGCTGAACCTAGCGTACACACATCAAGATAAATGCAAATACATTTTAAGTATATGGGATCCGCACTGACTCGCAAAAATCATGGGCGTACATAAATATGGCATGCAGTCACACAGGTAACCTGCATGGACGCGTGCCCTAACATTTGCGTTTGGAAATTCGAGTTTGTATCCGTCAAAAGTCAGAGATGAAGAGATAGTCGTGATCGAGAGCAGGCGGCTGCAAGTTGCCGCGGCACGGTAAGGAAAGGCTCGCTTGATGGCTTCCAATCTGCGCCCGGATAGGTGGATAGACATTGACATGAATGGCCACGTCGCCATTGATTGAAACAGGGGAACGTGGCTAAACAAGAAATTGGACAGACGGGATGATTCTTATCATCTTCTTAAGTTTGCTTAAGTAAGTTAAGTATCATCTCTTAAGTTTACAAGCCACACTAATTTTGTTGCAAGCATAGTAAGTAGAAATATTGGAATAATAAGTAGGGTTAGGTACTTTATTGATAAAACAACGTCACATCTACTCTATAACACTTTGATTCTTCCTTACCTAAATTACTGCTGCTTGGTTTGGGGCATAAATTATGCTTCTCAACTAGATCGATTGGTAATTTTGCAAAAAAGGGCTGTGCGTCTTATAGAAAATGTGTATCCTCCGCAAAGCTCAGGGCCAATCTTTAAACGATACAAAATTTTGAAACTATCGGATATTGCTAAATCTCAAATGCTAATTGTGATGCACAAATTTTTAACTTCACAGCTCCCTGCATCATTCGATTTAATTTACAATCTCTACGAATCCAATGACATGGATATGAGGCGAGCAAAACATTTAGAACAACCTTCCTCTTATCGTAATTATAGACTATTTACAGCATTCTGTCTTGGCCCCAAGCTGTGGAACGACATTATGGTTTCATATTTTCCAAGAATAGCTGATATCCCTGTATCGAAAACCATCGTTAAGAACATCATCCGCAAGCATTTCGTGAACACATATTAACGTAACAAACATATTTGAAGACATTGCCATCCTTGTGCTGCACATATCCAACGCACTTCATATTTGACCTCCTTCATGTTTCATAATCAATTTCTGATATAAAGTCATGCACATATACCCAAATTCATGGCGCTGGGTCCGGGAGTTCTCCCAGCAACAAGCTCTGCTTAGCTGGGCGGACTCCCTGGAAATCCAGCTCAAAACCCAGCACAAAAATGACCAGGTAATTGCCCCCCCCCCCGACTTGTGACTGTATAACCCTTACTAACACGGGGAATTGAGTGGTTGTAGATTATTGGGCGGTTGTAGCGGGCTGTCATTAGCTGATTTTGGCTAATGACTACTTTAAGCCTTTTCATCTATGATTTTTCCTTACCTCTCACATAACACAATTCCCTCGGGTCTGCTCCACCTCCTCGCCTGTTTTTTTTAAAGTTTGTTTCATCTTCCTAGCTGGGAGTGCCGCGACTTGATTTTATGTTTTCTGGTGTTAACGTACGGTTTACTGCGTCGCTGGGATTGAGGGAGGGGCACTCCTGGTTACCTGTTCTTGGGTAACGGCGTAGAAAAAAATCTTGGGACTGATTGTTTTTAGTACGCCCCTCTCTTTACCAAGTCATCAACCCGGGGCCGGCCTAGAGATGCCAGAATCGGTGTTATATGCAGGCTGTGGTTCATACCAGAGATAATCCTGCCTGCAAAAGATATAACCCTTTGAATCCTCTGCGCCTAGCACCTGATCACGCCACCCCATTGACGTAGGCAGTATGATCGTGTGTGGAACAACGATGGCTCCCATAATGATATTGAAAACATCAAATGTAAACTGATGCCTGAGGCGGCACTGCGAGATTATAATTACATTGCGTTTTTGCACGACTTTGGCGACATCCCTCTCTCACGAAAGCGTTGAGTCTGCGATCGCATCGACACATTTGATGCGTCGAGAAGGTGAGATGGTCTCTCCACATATCGTGTAGTGAGAATCACAGGTTTTCTTTACATTGCGTTTGCAGCCTGTCAAGACAAAACCGGTTTTGTTCTTGCTCATTTGCAGTGTGTTTGGTCTGAACCAAGCCCGAAGTTTCTAAACTTGTACCTCCAGACAATGCTTTAGTGCGCAACACTGCTTGTTAAGAGGAGTATGGTCCAGAATCTTAGTGTCATCTGCATATGAGATCAGGCGTCCATGTGACGGGTGACGGGGAAAGTCGGTTGTGAATAGGGTGAATAATAGCGGATTCTACTACTATGGATCCCTGGAACGCTCCGTGGTTTACCGGTAGGGTAGTCAGTCCTCCACGCACCAACTGTCTCCAACCAATCAAACAGCTTTTAAGCCAATCAGGGCCTTCGTCGTGACACTGAAGTTTTGTTGTAAGCAAACCATGATCAACGCTGTCGGAAAGCCTTGAATGCGTTGACAGCAATTAGCGACGATATCCCTCCTCCGCTGTGGACGCTCCTCACCAGCTCTCCGACAGCATCGAGCAGAGCGTTTTCCGCACAGTGACATTGCCGGTAGGCATATTGAACAGGGCTGAGAACACCATTACTGTGGAGATGCGAGCTCAGCGACAAGCGACATTTTCAAGAATGTTGGATGGCACACTCAAGTGCGGCATACCATTATGACTCACGATGCTTACGTGTTTGTCCGACTGGATTCCCTCATCCACTGCATCTGTTCACGGTCGGCCCAACCCGGACGCACACCCGCAGCGCACGGCTGATTGGCTTGATCTGCGACGCTTGTGTGCTGAGTGAGCCGCGCGCCATTTTGACCGCACGGCTGTCCGGGTGGCGCGGCAAGCAGCGGATGTCAGTCTCTGCGACGCCGCCCGAGCGCCGGCTCAGTGCTGCCGCGCCAAACTTCCGGCCGGCTGGTTCTGTACAGGTCGGGTGTCACGCGCTATTGATACAGAGTGTCTCGACCGCAGTGGTGTTCGGGGAACTCGTCGTCTGTTTTCAAAGGCCGGGTGCGTGACTGATGCGCCTGTTGCGGCACGCGCCATCATTTCCGCGCCGGATTTGTCAGCGCGCGGAGAGAGGACCAGCACAGCGAAGGAGGCCGCGTGTTGGGGGGTTCGGTTTGCCAGAGTAGCGGGAAGCAACGGTTGGTTATCAAAGTTTTGGACTCGTTGAGTTGTTCTGGCTGTCGCTGCTCGCAGTTTCGCCTTAAAGGTTTTTTTATACAGAAGGTTCGCCTGATCCATCGATCAGTTTGCGATCTCGTAAAAACACTTATCCATTGCCTCGGACCGTTTGTTGGGTACCTGGGTATGCCATAATATCACGCCTTACTGTTGAATTAACCAAAAAATGTTCATGGAATTTCGGATAGCAGAGGAACGCTTTAAAACATCTCTGGAATATGGTGTGCTAGACAGCGACGTGAACGACAGTACGCCATTCGAGCCTATTCAGCGGTTGGGTAATGGTAAATGACGACTTAACCTGCACTGAATAGGAATTTGCACTAATCGTGTTATTTCGAGGTCACTTAGCCCAAAATCAAGTCACAAATATGCAAAAGATTAGAATAACAGAGGCTCAGTCTGAAAATTCGCTCGAGATCTACTTACCTTGCTTTTTGCGAAATGTGCTGTCGCCAGACCCACATTTTAGCCGCTTCCCCATCAATGAATGACCAAGCATGCTCCTGGACCTCAGTCACACACGGTCACACATACAACCTATGCTCTAGAAGCCTTCGCCGGCCAGATGTTTCTCATCCAATCCCCCCCCCCCCCCCACACTGCGCTTGAACACAAAAAGACAGCAATTCAGGAGGTTTAGGGCACCCCAAGCCGTCTACAACGCCCGATACAGACTTGTCGCAGCGGCGGGGAAAGACGTAAACACGCAAGTAAGGGTGAGAACTGCCGTGCAAGGGGAGGCTGTGGGGGATGGTACTCAAGCCCTCCCCTTTGGAAAATATGTAAGGAAAGTTATCATCTTAATCATGGCAGTGCATGGGAAGAAATGTCTCAAAGCGCCCCCGCTTCCCCCGTTCCCAGTCCTGCACAAACACTGCTCCTGTGCAGACGTATCGCCAAAAATTCTGTATTAGCAGCCTTGTCACGTCAAGCTTACCTTCCGCGAAGACGCGCCCCAATTTGTGGCAAGTCCATCGTCGGCGATTCGACCCGGAGCTTGCTGTCTGCCTTCAGATGGCTAAAAGTCCAAAAGTTTTCACACCGATGCAAGACGGTTCCCAACTCCGCTATCCAGAGCTTCACCGTGACTTGTCGAGAGCTTTGGAAGATTCCTCTGAGTGGATGGAGCGAGCTGTTCCAGACACCTGTCCTGGCGATAGTTAATACGTGGCGGAGGGCGTCCAATTTACCAATGTTTCAACCGGTGTTATCTCCAATCAACTACTGTCAAAGTTGCCAGAGCTTCGAGCGCGGCTCATTGCTTAGAATTTTGTATTCCCAGAGCCGCTACAGCGCTACGCGACCACCTTAAACCAAGAACTTCTTTGAAGCGAACACTTTTTTAAAGGCCTCCTTGAGCTCCGCGAACGATTCCGCCATCCCCAGCAGTGACCACTTCGCAGCCGGTCTGCCCGCGGCCGTCTCCACTCGCGCGACCCTCCCCCCCCCCCCTCCCGACCCTCCTCCCCCGGCGCTCGGGAGTTTGCCGGGGGCCCGGACCGGCTGCAGCTTGAGGAGCTGCCGCGTGTGTTATCTTGCGAGGCACGCGCCCCGCCTCTCACGCCCTGTCGGCCGGCCGGCTATTCCGGCGGCGGGAACGACCCGTGCAGTGGCCTCGGGCGATGGCAGGCGGCGCCTCTTGACGTGCGTCAGCACGCGTCCGGTCCGTTGTTGTTCCAGCCACAGCCATGCCTCGGCGACTGCCGGCGAAGTTCGGGTTCGTCGCCGGCGGCGTTAAATCGCTGAATTTTTCAACGTTGGCGTGAACCCACCGACAAGTGTTGTTCATGGCGGCTGCTCACGCTCTTGCGATGATTGGTGCAGCGCATTCATAGTTAAGTGGGATTGATCTCTTGGGCAGCACGTTTGATCAGCCAGCCAATATTGCAACTGCGTGCGACTCGGTTGCACCCGTCGTCCGTTATCGCGTGCGATGGTTCACACACAGACGTAAATGACAGCGAGTCTGCACAGGGGCGCTTAAAAACACCGCTTGCAGGATTTATGATATGCTGTTTACCCCGAGTGTTTCAGGCCGCTGCTCATTTTTGCTATCACTGAAAACCGGCCAGTCTTGTTTGTGCTTTACGTTGTTGTGTCCTGCGTGATGGAACGATATCGTTGTTTGCACATGTCATGAAACAGTAAATTTTCAAACACGGGCGCAACATTACTGAGCTTATCGGCGGATATGCTCAGACATTCACCCTCATGTGGCAGGCGTGCTGCCTGGTGTGACGCTATGCGCATTTCCCAAACACGCCATTGTCTAGTGACACATGCATCATTTGGAAGTGCATCTTTAAAACTGGGCCTATTATGCTGGGTGCCAGATTATTGGTATATGACTGATGGTGTCTGTTCTTTGGGTGTGTGCTGGAAAGCCGTCAAACCTGCGCACTACCTGTTGCGATCTAAGCACGCCGTGTCTACGAATGACTTGTGTAACATGGCCTGCCAATTTAAATCATCAAGCCGTGTACTTGTCTATTTTCTATTGACAATTTTCTGTTGACAAAAGAGACACAGTTATATTTTATATAACCTTATCTATTTTCTGTCTTCACCGGGGCCAAGAGAATGAGGAGGTCTTTTGCACCAATGGTTCCGTGCTGACAGCACTGCCGACTGCAGAAGGTGCCAACACCGGGCGCTGCTTCTGTGTCGTCAGGCGGCCACGCAGCAAACGCAGAGTAACGATGGCCTCTCGACAAGGAGCTTTATACAGATGAGGCCTCTTAATCAAGGACGCAATAAGGCCTAACGGCGACCCGACACCACCGACGCCCGCTGACCGGCAGGCGGGAGGTCGGGGGAGAAGGCAGGACGACTGGCGGCGCAGAGCTCCTTCGGAATCCACCGGCCCCTCGACCCCGACAGCTCGAGAGCTCCCTTGGAATCCACCGGCCCCTCGGCCCCGAGAGCCCGAGGGCTTCCTCGGAATCCACCGGCCCCTCGGCCCCGAGAGCCCGAGAGCTCCCTCGGAATCCACCGGTCCCTCGGCCCCGAGAGCCCGAGAGCTCCCTCGGAATCTACCGGTCCCTCGACCCCGAGAGCCCGAGAGCTCCCTCGGAATCCACCGGTCCCTCGCTCCCGACAACCCAGGCTCCTGCCAATCGCCATCGGCTGTGGGGCCTCCCCAGCGGCTAATCGCCGGCGGCGTTCCGTGTGAGCTCGGACGACCTCCACCAGCCGGACGAGACGAGCTTCGGCTATCAAATCCGCCATCACGACTTGATCGTCGGGACACCGGTGGCGGCGTGTCGTTTACGACGCCGTCGACCGCCGTGGTCACCGTCGTCGGCAGCCGCCGGCGAGCCGCGATGCTAGCCGATTCCAGCCGATTCCAGCCGGCCGGTCGGTCAGGCGGTGGTGCAGCTGCTCGATCAGGGCCGTCAGTGACCCAAGCGTCGGTCGACAATGCCCAGTGACTTTGTATTGCTGTCGGGTGGCTCACTCGCCGCAAACCTAGCCGCCATCGATTTGCGTCATGGTCGGCTTATGGGATGCTCCTGTAACAGACGGGCGATTTAACCTGAGCTTCGCAGTAAGCCGGTGGACTACGCGATAACAAATGCTTGCCCCACAGGAAGCTGACCGGAGGGATAGGTGGCTTCTATAGCCTGTGAACTTCCCGCAGGGTCCTATTCCAAGCTACCAGTGATATGCATCAAACTGAGCTCATCTGATCGGGTTCCAGCATCTGGTAGCTTGCCTCAGCTCAGCGGTCTCGTGTGATGCTTCACATAGTGACTCGTGGTGCATCCCGCAGTAAGCTGGTGGATAGGCTGGAGAACATGAGACGGCACGCGGTCGGCAACGGCGCCAGCACGTGCGTCCTCTGCGGAGAGAAGTTCGGACTGCTGGCCAGCTCCAAACTCAAGTGCAGGGACTGTCTCAAGGTGCGTGCCGTCCGCGGCCAGCGTGAAGCTGCTGCAGCGCTGGTGGTAGTTCTCGGTGACATCGCAGACCGAGCTGGCATTAGTAGAATAGCGGGAACATGTTCAGCGTGGACGGTCGAGCCCGGTCCGTCCATTATGGTTTTGGAGGCCAATATTCTCGTAAGCACTGATGGTGGCTTCTTGCTGTTTTTAAGAAACAAAACACGTAATTCTTTGTATGCTGTGCTGTATTATTCTTAGGGCATTTATTTACAAGCTATAGAACTATGCATGGATTTCCTGCAGTTTTGCAATAAAACAAGCTCCCATCGGACTCACGGGGCGAACAAAATATGCTCATTGCAAAAGCCCGTACGACATGGGTCGAAAAATGAAGAGATTTTAACGCACAAAAGAGCAGACAATCGTGATAGCAAAATGTCCGTTTACATGAGCAGCCTGTCTCGCGCGTTCGTGCGTGATCCAGGGAACAAGCTGAGCAATAGCTGACAAGCAATTAAGCTGCGCATCTGGAAAACCAGAGATACGTGGCTCAATGCGGGAAATAAGCAGGAAAGGGCGGTGCCCGCCCCGCCTGCCAGGGTTGAGAGGCAGGGTATACCATATAGCCCCAGCAGCTTAGCACGTAGTAAAGGCCCAATGTCACGTAAAGACCATAGGACGGCCAGCTTTGGGGCATTCTGAAAACCCGATATCCAGATCTCGACTGCCGGAGCAGATAGCAGCGTGTCACTAACGTCATGGTGCAGGCGATCGTACCTTCTGCCAATCACCGACCAGTCTGAACACCATCCGATCCGCGGTTGCGTCGGTAAGCGACCGGGAAACAGGCACCGTCACCTTCCCGAAACCGGTCTCAAGCAGATCCCACTGTGGCCTAAACCGGAGGGGTCGTGTCGTGACAACTTCACAGGCTGGTGGTCAGTCTCAGAGCCCAGTGCTCCGTGACTGAAGCTCAACACAAGTATTTGTTGTAGTAGTTTGACTGCAGTTACCGCACACATGTCAGTCACACAGTCTTGGTTTCTCTGAAATGAAAATATGTAGATAAGACAGTACCGTTAGCGTCATTCCTTGTAGAATAACCAGGAGAAAGGAAAGATAGATACGTTGACATTTGAGCTACATGCCTTTAACGAAACGAATGTGAGTGATAAATTCATCTTTCGAAATTGCCGGCCGATTCCACTCGTTTTTTGGTTTTTGTTTTGAAACAGGCAAGCCACAGGTTTTACAATTACCAACATTAAGGGATAAAGCAAGCAGCAACTGCCAGAGATAAATGCGATACAGTATCTGTCAAACTAAGGACTCAAATACTAAGTAATGCGTATCACGACTTGCCTCGCGAACCCTACCTCGGTGAATGAATGTGAACCTCATGAATGACAGCCAAATTCGGTGAATGTCATGAATGGCAGTGCACTGACCGGCACAATTTGAATGAATTCAGAGGATGCTGGACTCCATTACTTGTGCTTTGGAATCTTCCAATGACGGAAATGCTCGTCTCTTATGTCTGTTATCGCCTTGTCGTGCCGCGTTGCGCAAAGCGTCTTACCAGTGATGATCGCCATTGGGGCTGAGTATGTGCTGACCGCATGGTTCATAACGATCAACCAGATCGCCGAGGAGAGAGGGTGTGGAGAGGATCTGCACCTTGCGCAATCTCATCACCCATGGTTGCAACTTAGCTAGGCTTGTCATGGTGTTGCAGTAGGCAATAAGCTGGCCTTGACGTGCTGGCCGGAGGGGCTAGGGACGTGTCAGGCCTGCATGTGCGGGGGCGGAACGCTGGGTACAAGCCGCGGCCTTTAAAGTGCCCTATGAACTTCTTACTCAGGTGCCGCAGCGTCCCCCACAATAGCTGCTGGCTGCGGGCGTGTCAGCGAAATCTTGGAGGAGCTATCACACTGTGTACAGTGATATGCAAGCCAACTTGCATTGCAGGGCATGTGGCGCCTTGGTCGATAATGCTAACTTGACTGCATAGCTTCCAAGTGAATCTGGCGCAGTCAAATGCTCTAAAACGTCGGTTAAATTGATGGCGCTTGAAGAAGTTTTGTTAAACTTTGCTGCGGCCTAAACAGCTTTGTTTGCAGTTTGGCTACGTGTTCATTCAAGCGGATGAGAAACAAGTAGACCACAAGAGACCTATTGTAAAATGTATGCAGGCTTTGGCTCCTGAAAGACCAAAGTTGGGCTCGACGGGTCGCGGCGGTGGGTTACGGAGCTTGTTTGGGGTGCGTGCTGTCGTGACTGCTGCTGGTTTGCGGCATTTGGGCCCAGCGGACTTCAACATTTCTACAGCGGATTTTTACAGCGGATGTTTACAGTGGAAGCCGCACATCTGCATGACCTTCTGGTGCCATGTTGGGAAGTCTCTTGTGTGTAGGGCAACTTACATCCTCCTATAGGTTGAACTGAGTGGTCACTGTTAACTCATATAGCCAGAATGCATTCGAATATTTAGTTGTATATTATTATGACTCCAATTCTCGTACTAGAGCACAACAATAACCAACGCCACTCCGAGCAACTTAACCCCGCGCAGTTAAATCCGAAACGGTAGCTTGTTCTGGGGGGCGTGCGGGCGAGTCCACAGAAGGGGGAGGGGGGGGGGGGGGCTGAGGAGAGCTCATTACTGAAAACTGAGTTTATCGCCGCGCAGGCAAGTGCAATATTTTGCTTGTCGTAAAATAAAATCGCACGCTCCCGATCTTCTTATTTTCACACGACCTCAACTTATTAACTGTTAACTTTTATTGACGCAATAGTACTAAATGCCATACCTATGTAGAGGCGCAAACCCTCTGGTGCCACGAAGATGGGCTCGGTGATTTTCACCTCCTGGCGATGTCATCAGCCTGTATGTTAGACACGGTTCGGCGTTCACAGCTCCCCGTAGCCGCGTGTGTTGATTTTCCAGGCCACCCTGCGCCGCATGCCGACTCTCGTCCGACTCTCACCGCCTTCCCCCCACCCCCTCCCTGTAGGCGGTGTGTCATAAGTGCGTGGTGGACACCTCGTCAGCGGGCGGTGAGCAGTGGCTGCTCTGCAAGATCTGCGCCGAGACGCGTGAAGTCTGGAAGAAGTCGGGCGCCTGGTTCTTCAAGGGCATGCCGCGTTACGTGGTGCCCGACCCGAAGCGGCCGGCGGTGGCCAACGGCACGCGCCGACGCGTCATCTCGGCAGAGCCGTCGCCGCGCTCGTCCGTCCGCTACAGCTGGGCCAAGCACGTGCAGACCAGCGGCAACGGTGAGAGGCCGCCAGCCAGCCCGAGCCATCGGCAGGGCCCGATGGGGATGAGCAGCGACAAATGCTGGTGACCTCGGGGTTGTATCCGTATTTAGGAACCGTCCATGAATTATGCCACGCATGGAGGGGTACGAGAATAGAGCGTAATAGACGCGTAACAAGCGAGGAAGTGGTAGGATTTTGACAGCGTAGCGCCACGCTTAGGTGTGGTTTTAGGTCATGCTAAAATGTTTAAATTTAAGTTAAAACCTTGAGACGGGGTGCTGTTGGCTTCCTGCAATGACAAGGAACACGCCCGGGTATTTGTTTTTGTATCTGCAGCTCAGTTGGCGACTAAACGGATAGTGCTTTCCTGGAACATTACGCTTAACACAGCCAGGGGGTCGCTCAGCGTATCCAGAGCGTAACCGGGGCGAGTGAAGGGCTGATAAATGACAAAAAAATACGTAACGTAATTTATGGACGGCTCCTTAGATATATGACCAGGTTGTAATATCATTAAGCTACCGCTAATAGATCTGTCCAGGGTACTGGTGCTCCCAAGGTATTAGTTACCAGATGCACGCAAATTATCGGAGTATGTGGGTGGGCCTGTGCCGTTAAGCCAATATGGGTTGGTGTCTACAGAGTATTTTCAATATATATATATATATATATATATATATATATATATATATATATGTATGTATGTATGTATGCGCACGCTAACGGCAATCCACGACATACCGTGGTGTTTCCATTACCGCCAGCGGCTTATGTCAGGACTGAGGTACGCTGAAGGTACTTTCAGTTCATAAGCTCGCTGGACAGGAACAGTGGTGAAGCTGGAGATGCTACGCATGCGTGTTGGACGAATGCCCCCACCCCCGTGCAATAGATGTATATGGAAATAGAGGAGAGTAAAGCAGCTATTGCTGAAACGTTTTGCGAATGTTACAATGCGTATTGGAGGCTTCGGTACCGCATGCCGTTACGAAATTATTGCGGCATACTTGCGATAGGCTATGTCAGACCAGTACCTGGGCATGCTCGTGCATATTTTCCTGACAATGAATGCCCTGATAACAGGACTTCCGTCATGGATGTAGCGCATACATGATGGAGCACGCGAAAACTCAAGCAGAACATAATACGGTATGTTTGGTGAACTGATGATGTCCTTATCGGCAGCGTTTTTAGATTGTATATTACGACTCACTACTTATAACGTTAATCCGGCCTAACTAAAATAGGCTTTAGTCATTAAGCATTCCAAAATATCATTTTTAAAAGCTGAGGAATGCATTGTATCCACACCATACGCTGGTCCCAGATCCAATACATCGATTGGCTCCGGTTGAACGGTGCGTTCTAAACAGTTTTCACAAACCACTTGTTGTTTACAAGAGATAACAATGCATGAAAGCATGGATCGCGTGCTTTCATATTTTATTTTATCAATATCGCGATCAGACAAATTTCCACACCAAGGAGGAACTGGCCGGCCCCTCCTACAGAGGCCGCCCAACAGACGAGAGACACCAGCTGGGCCGAAGCTGCCGAAGCCTCTGACGGCATCAGGGTGCTTAAGTGGGATAAAAATACCAGCGCCAGACGTGACCAATTCCCCGAAGATTAGTCTCAGTCTCTCACCGCCGTCCTCGGTCGCGCTAGGAAGCAAACGCGGACGACAGTACCCTTGTGCTGCCAATTTAGCGGGTCTTGCGGTCTTATTCGGTTTGTCGGCGCGCATTACCGCACACCCATCCACCGGCCATGGAGGCCGTCGCCGGACTACCCGGGGGGGGGGGGGGGGGGCGGCGGGTGCCAGCTCAGCGCACCACCACCAGCCAACATGCACGATGAGACTAATGTGTGCCAATTTCTGAGACGGGGAGCAGAAGCCTCCACCGGGCGTGCGCCTGTCAACAGAGAGAGACGAGGTTTCTACGGCTCCGGGCTGGTCTTGGAGCCAGCGTCGCTGTCGACGGCACCGGAGCCAGAGTGGGCAGCGCCGCTCCCGAGCTGTCCGCTCCCGCTCCCGCTGCCGAGCCCCCGCGATTGTCCGCTGCTCGGCGCCGAACCGGAGCCGCTGGCCAAGCTGGCTTCTGCCGACGGTCCACCGCTGCCCGTGATAGAGGCCGAGACCGTGCCCGAGGCGGAGCTGGAGCCAGGGCCGGAGCCGGAGCCGGAGCCGGAGCCGGAGCCGGAGCCGGGGCCGGGGCCGGGGCCGGAGCCGGAGCCGGAGCCGGAGCCGGAGCCGGAGCCGGAGCCAGAGCCAGAGCCAGAGCCAGAGCCAGAGCCGGAGTGGCTAGTGCTGGAGACAAGTTGCGTCGAGCGACGACGGGCCGATTCGGCGCCGGAGCCGGAGCCAGAACCGGAGCCGGGTCCGGAGCCGGAGCCGGAGCCGGAGCCGGAGCCGGAGCCGGAACCGGAACCGGAACCGGAACCGGAACCGGAGCCGCTATGCGCCGAGCGGCGGCGGCCCGAGGCACGGCCCTCGTCACTGCTGCCGCCGGACGACCAGTCAGAGCTGCTGCTGTCAGAGCTGGCGGCCAGCCGACGGCGTGCCAACTCCAGCAGCGAGCTGACAGCGCTGCTGACCGTGCTCACCCGCTCCTCTACGCCTGCCACCACCTCCTCGGCCTCCTCTTCGGCGGCGGCCGCGCGTCGCGCCGCGCCCGACACGATGGTGTGCACGGCGGCGGTGAGACGCTGCGCTGAGCGCATCACCTCGCGCACCACGACCGCGCCCTTCTGGGCGACCTCCTCCGGCGGCGAGCGTGCGGCTGCCTTCTCTGCCGCGGCCTGGTCCGCCGCTGCGGCGGCGGCGGCGGCGGCCGCGGCCTCGTCCGCCGCCTGCCCGGCCAGGATCTCCTCCAAGAGGAGCGACTCGGGCAGTGGTGGCGGCCGCTTGGACTGGCCGGCGCGGTAGGCGAGCGGCGCCAGGTCCTGGTGCAGCTCGTCGCGCCGTCCCATAAAGTCGTCACTGCCCTTGCGGCAGCGCGCCGTGATCCAGAGGTGGCCCTCGTCCGTCACCACGCGGCGGATCTTCTTGGGGTCGTCGTAGTCGTAGACGGTGCGGCACTGCGGGTCATACAGCCCGTCGCCGGCGTCGAACATGTCGGCCGGCACGGGCCGCGGCGGCTCGCGGTCGGTGAGCTGGGAGCGGCCCGCTGGCCGCAGGCCACCCTGCACCTCGGACCAGTACCGTCTGTCCGGGTAATCACAGTACTTCCAGTCGCGGTGGGAGAAGCTCAGGCCGTCGGGGAACGTGTACAGGCCGTTGGTGCAGACACCGTGCTGCCACTGGCCCTCGTACTTGCCGCCGTCGAGAAAGAGCAGCGTGCCCGTGCCGTGGAAGCGGCCGTCCCGGAACTCTCCCCCGTAGCGCACCCCAGAGGGCAGGGTGAGCGCGCCGAGTCCCTCCCAGCGCCAGGCGAACACCTGCGACCATGGGTGCGGTGCGAGGAAGACGCGCCGAAAGCGTGCGTGCAGTGTGCGGTGAAAAAGTCACACAGGTGAAGGACACGCCGCACGGTTGAGGAGCTCGTTGCATGCTGGAACACGCCACACTTGTGTAGGGAATGTCACACAGATGCAAGACGCGTCACAAAAACGCAGAGTACGTCTAAAGACAATCTACGCGTCGTAGGGACCACTGTGCGCGGTATTGACCACAGACAATAAAGACAGCACAGGCTAGAAACCTGTTGCGGGCTCCTTACACGGGGCAGAGCGTATAACGGAGGCGCGCGTTTATATCCGCACATGAGACGCGGAAGACGGAATCCAAACCAGTCACGTTAGCAATATGCACAGCATGCATATGAACACATTAATCGCCACTTGGACACTCGACATGTGTCGTAATGAGTTACACTGTCACATGCCACAAAGAATCGCACACACACGCCTCACGTCACACAAAGTCACACGTCGGCACTGTGTTATTTGCCGAGGCAAGGACATTTCAACTGTCACGCGCACTGAGCATGTCCTGAGTAGGCAGGAGTGCCTGGCATATGTGCATTTAATACACCACGCAAACGTGGGAGGCATCCTATTTTAAGCGCTCGGAACAGTACCAAAGCAGGCCTGGCACAGACACAAACACAGACGCACGTCATGTTTTGTCAGGCATTTTCACGGCCAGGCGTCTGCCAGCTGTATCTGATGGCAATACACAGAGCATTGCGATCCCGGTCGCCATGAGACACGGTTTCTGGCTGCTGGGGATGCATTTCTCGTAGCCAAGCGTGCGGAGTATCAAAAGCGACCTGTTCATCACACCAGGTATCATCGCTGTTACATCACACCAGGTATCATCGCTGTTCATCACACCAGGTATCATCGCTGATCTCTTACCAATCTGTTTCGTCACCCATGACACATGCCGATGCGCAAACATGCGACTGATTTTTTGAAGATTTTTTCGTCACCGATTACGTAAAAACGCTTACATTTCTAACATTGACATTGTAACATCGACATCTAAAGAACAACAGGATTTTTTTAAAAAGACTTCTCGAGGTATCTGCAATCCAGCACCATGTGGTTGGCGGGCTGCGGCGCGGCAGCACGACCCTGCTCTGACCTGGCCCTGGTAGAGGTCACCGGTGGGCGTGGGTTCGCTCAGCTCCAGCGGGCAGCTGGGGTCGGGCTGCTCGGAGTCGGGAGCCACCACCAGCCGCACCGTGTCCGGGTCAGCCAGCCTCGTGCCCTCAGGGTGAAGGCACGCCGGCGGCGGCTCGTCCGGCCGGTACGAGAAGTACTTCATCACGCCGGGTGGCCGCGGGGCTGCCGCGGAGAGCGTGGGAGCGAACGCGGGCGACGGCCGACCCTGCGATCCTGTCTCGGACTGGCGGCCCGTCGGGCGCTGCCAGCGCCCTGTCGTGGTGGTTAGCGCTCTCGGCTCTCACAGCTAGAAAAGCGTATGTTGGCGATGGCGGGGGTTTTCCCTCATCTTCGGGGAGGAGGAGGCAACATAACGCGAAGTCGTGGTGGCAATTACCCGTGCTGGCCACGAAAATGCGGGCTAACGCTATTAAGCAGCAGGGTGCCAGAAAAACATGGCATGGCAGCCTGAATTGTATCAGTGGAAACGCAACTGAGAATGCGAAATATATAAACGATGTCTGCATTCACGTGATGAACATTTCCCGACGCCACTAACTAACTTCTGGGACGACGTCACTAACTTCTGATGTATAAGCTCGCTTTCATATGCATGACATGGTATCTAATTTTCATAAATCGTAGTTCTGAGGTACTACGGTTGACTGATTTCCCTTGCGAAGGATTCTGAATCTTGGAGAGGTTCTTCCTCATCACACCTGGCTTGGGACCCACGCCAGATCACCACCGGCTGCGAAGCAACTCTCAGCCCTGCCTCCATACCGTTACGCCTGCAATCGTCGTTGGCGTCTGCCATTCCAAGTGGCCCCAAGTGCCAGCGCAAGTGGCGCGGGAGGCTGAATTGACCTCAAGTAGCTGCGTCGGTTACCCCTCGCTGCCATGGGGACTCGTCGGTGGCGGCCGCCGGACGGGCCGAGTCGCTCGCTGACCTTTATCAGCCGCGATATTGACGGTGATCCGAGGCTGGGCCGGCCTACCCGTCTGGACCAGGCCACAGCGGTCTCACCAGGACCGTCGGCAGCGAGCGGGCCCACTGATGGGGACGCCTACGCAAGGAGGAAGGCAGGAGGGTGGGGCCAGCAAGATGGAAGGAGAGGAGCTAAGAGGACTGGAAAGTGTTTAAGGCGTTGAAGTGATGTGAAATAGGAGTCATTTTATCTGTGATCGCTTCATGCGTTGGTATAGTCACAGGCATTGTCACGGCCTGAATGAAATTTGAGTTTAGCGCCTAAGCCGCCCATTTAGCCGAAGGCTGGGATTGGAGCTGAGTCTACTGACACAGAGGTCGTCAAACTGCTCATTCAGCCTGAGGCTAGGATCGGAGCTGAGTCTAAGACACAGAGGTCGGCATGTCAAAACCTCTGGGCCACTTATGCTGATGAAGGATGGGGACAGAGGTGAAGGGAATGGAAATACCCACAAGAAAGGATAGGATAATAATAAATGGGAAGAGGCAGCGACTCCTGGAGTAGATTTCGCCGAAGACCACTATTTCTCGCGGCTGTGCAAACGCTTTGTGTTTCGCAATTTCGCCCCACCGCTCGGGGACTTCCAGGCGCGATGTCTTGTTCTGAGAGGACTTTTGTTTGCACCGGAAGTCAGCAAACAACGACCGCTGTTGTACTGCTTTAAATTGCGCTGACGTCGCGCAGACCTGCGTTTGCAGATAACTGAGCAGGAAAATGCTCTTCCTCAAGAAGACATGTGTCGAAACTGGTTTGGTTGCGTGACGACGCGGGGCATTCTGGAGGAAATTTTGGTAGCAGAGGGAGATGAATAGATTGAAAGGCATTGGAATAATCCGTGGTGAAAGGGCACAAATCAAAGAATCGTGTGAATTGTAAATGTCACTCCCACTGTACATGCCTTATTGTGTGCGCTGAATCCGGTCCACTGTCCCCCTCCCCCCCCCCCCCCCCAAGCCTGTGTATTTGTACCATTCAGATCGATCGCTGGCATTGCTCTGAATGGTGACTAACGCCCTTACCGGGCATCATTTATCTTATACGTCGTTGACAATTCCTGTCGGTATGCACTCAGCTTCGGAGTAGCCAGGTGTATTGGAATCATTTAAACATGATGCTCATTTAGCAGGAGTAGGGGGCGTCAGAAGTGTAGTGGTTAACTCGTCTGCGTTAAGCACCGCGCGTCTGGTGCACCAGAGGTACGGGATTCGATTCCCGCGGTGCCCGCCCTTCCTACCAGGGTGTAGGGCAGGTGACGCCATATAACCTCAGCAGCTAGGTGCGTCGTAAAGCCCCAATGACACACGCGATGATCATTCAGCTCTAATCCTTTTGCTTTTTGTCTTGTTTATTCTGGCGTATATAGATACCGCACGCCTGCTCGTAGGCCTTCGCGCGAAAGAATCTTGTTCCTGCAGCGCGACGTAATTTGCATTTTCCGTGGGTGGTGACGCCCTGGTTTGTTTGCGTTGTGCTGGTTAACGTAGGTGGGTAAATACCCCACAACCCGTATCCTCACACGACAGAAGGGCCTGCTGTGTGGCCAGCAGTCGCCCACTCGCATTACCCCAGCTCAGGCCACGGAAACCAAGCCCGTGGAAAGCAAAACTTCCTGACGTCCTCACTGTCCTCAGGGTAACCGCTCAGCCCAGCCAGAGGACCCGGTCGGCCGGCGGCCGGGGAGCGGCCCGACCCGGCGGTCGACTCCAGCTGACCTCTGACCTGACGCGCCCGCAGGCGAGCTGCCCAGCGCGGGGCCCAGTCCGCCGGCGGCCGGGGAGCGGCCCGACCCGGCCGCCGACTCCAGCTCGGACGAGGAGGACGCGCCGCCGCGCTCCGCCGTCCGGCGCGTCACCACCTACGAGCGCGTGGCGCCGTGCGTCACCAGGTGAGACGCGCCCGCCGCTCACCGCGCGCGCTCACCCACGCTCACCCGTTCTCGCGGCGCGGGCGGCGCCAGCAGATCTGACGGCGGCGCGGCCCGTTTCGGGACGCCCTCCGAGCGACAAGCCGGTGGTGTTGACCGCGCGCTCGCTGAGGACTCCGCCCTCACGCCGCGTCCCAGCGCGGCGTCCCGATCGCGTTGTGCGATGCCACTGGTGCGCGGCGCTCGGCGATGCCACTGGTGCGCGGCGCTCGGCTGTTGGCCGGGAGCGTATGTAGATGCCGCACAGTGCACTGCATGTGTGTGCGTGGTGCGACTTGCACCTGCAATACATATGGCCTGCTAATCGAGTGCATGCTGGAATCTGATCTAGTAGCGGTGGATTTTTGCGCCCTTTTACTTTTCGTCAACAAACTTGGCGTCGTCTTCGCTGTTTCCCATCGTCTTCCAGTCGCGTCTGGCTGCCAAGTAGCGGCCTAATTCTGCATAATCTCAGCCCATTGGCAGCGTCTGTAGAGGGATGGTCCCCTCTATTCAAACCCTCCCTTACTTCAGCGGAGTTTGCGAAAATGGACTTGCAAAGTGCTTTTAGTCGTATCAAAGGTGTTTTTGTATGCATGCGCCAACGGAAACCTCTGAAAGACTTGCTTGCGCTACCTTTTGTCAGATACAGCGTTTCCCTGGCTGAGGCAGCGGTGATGTTCTCCATGTATGCACATGCCGTGCAGCGCCTAACCATCGAGACATCGTGACATATACCTTGACCATTGTTTCGCATGGAACTTGTATGAATATGGCCACCATACACTACGAATAATAAATGCGTAAAAAACACTGCGTTTATTGAAGACTGGTTTTAACGTGTATTGGAACACACCGTTTTTTTCCAATGGCTTGAAACGGATGCATGTCATCCGTTTCATCCATCCATTATCATCATATGCCATCGATGTTCATGTGCCCTCTATAATCACCGAAATCATTTTTAATCTCGTGTTTGACAGAAAATACACGTGGCTGAACGGAAAACTGTTCCCTACCAACGTTTGCTTTGTTAAGATTGTTCCTCTGTGGCCATGATGGGCTATATTACGATCTATGTGCGCTGTCGACTTTAATCAGAAATCTTCAGAAATTTTGTTAAATCAGCCATTGCATGGCACAATTACCTGAACACGCAACGTCAACATGGCTGAGACAAAACATCATGCCGTTTCAGTCTGCGGCGAAAAGGTAAGCGATGCGCACGTGCCAGCATCACACCGAACCCCAGCTCCCGACGCCTCAGCAGTCGCGCTTCACAATCCCATGTCAGCCAGCCGTCCGGCGTGATGCGTGGTGCAGGGTGGCTGTTCAGGTCGACTTGACATGTCGTTTTCACGCAGCCCATCGGACAAGGAGGCGGATCAGACCGCCAGAGTGGCCGGCAACGGCGCGCTTCCTCACGGTGAGAGGGGCCGCCAGGACTGTAGTGGCAGCGTACGATCGTAGCGTACGGATTTTCATGGAATAGCTGTTGTCGCTGTCGTTATTTGTGCCTTTTGCATGAGTGTCTTGGCAAGGAATTTGGCGGTAGGATGGTAATCATTCGAAGATGCGGCACGGAAAGAAGACACCGGACGAAACTAAACATTGGGAGTCGGACTGAGACGCATTCCGCGGAACAAAGACGAACGGCATGGTATCCTATTAGCGACATGGTTCACTATGTCATGACAGTGGTGTAGCGCCATTATCAGATTGCACGTTCAAATCGGTCAAGAAGCAGTTTCCTGTCTTGGTGCCGGCAGCCAGTGTCAAATCAGCACAAGCGGTACTAGTACTGGCACAAACAGCACTAGTGCTGGCTAGAGCGTTGCCTGGATTGCCGACGTTTAAGGTTTTCCGGTGCTAGGAAATACATGACCTTATTGAATGTTGTTGGAAAGGTTTTTTTCACGGCTGCTCAATCTGGTGTTTGTCAGCCTGATCGTGGAATCGATATAATTGCCAGTGCCAATTTAAAATTACTGGTTCTAAGCCAGTACTCACGTGCGCAAGGTGCTTGTAGCAGGTATCTTGGCTGGTAAGACTGGCGCCAGTGTACAACCGATACTAGGCTTGAAGAAAAAAAACTAGCAAGTCGGGTTAGGAATCGTGATTTTGAAGCATTGTATCAAGTGGGGACGTGGATATCGGCAAATGGGGTAGTGCGGGCATCGTGGTCGCTCGATGGTGGTCAGGTTTACTTGTGTTGCCCTCCGTATAGTTATGAGCTGCGTTTTGACGAATGCGCCTGCTTGGCACCATTGTCTTGTAGCATCGGGTGACGCGCATGTAGACGTTGGACTGGCTCTTTTATGTTCTCTAAGTGCTGTGGGAAATGCAAACCGTCGTCCAGGATGTGACTACTTCACACGTAAGCCACATTGCATTCCATTTGAAATGGATAGCATTTATGATCGGACGAGAACCAATGCGAGCTTAATTGCGATCGATGGACCCAAAATGGTCACATGAGTTCAATTTAAAACGCATTAAACACACGGATGTTACGCGTCAACAGCACACGTATGGCATAACGCGTGCTCATGGGATGGCTGAAAGACTGTCGTTTTTGGGGCGGCGTTTTACTCCACCCTTGGCTGACATCCGGACTATTGTGTTCCAAAGATAGCTTGACTTACTGTGAACCGTTCCTGAAAGTTTCATACAGGTTGGTTGTTTTGCTTCACGAGTTATAGTCGACATCACGCGAGCGAAGCTACCAATAATGTTGCCCCAGATAGCAACGAGTTGAAGAAAATGCTTACCGTACAAATGCAGTTTTCAACTAAGGTAGACAAATGTCCGAACCGTTGCATGACATAAACTCAGAGATACATAAACTCCCTACCATTTCGTCGTTAAGGCCTAAAACACAATGGTGCGTAAGCTTTGAAGTAGTCGTATTCGATAATTCATTTCGGACATGTTTTAAGTACGATATTGTCAGCACCGGCGCCACACGTCTAGTGCGTACCGGTCTTTGTTGGCCCTGCTTTACACGCCTTTTGCAGCGGTATAGGCCGAGCCGAGGTAGGAGGCTCACCTCGGAAGAACTGCCTCCTCATAAATACAATCCTCAAGTAAGATTCATCACGGCTCTGACTCTATTGCTTAGAGCGTAGGTGGTGCATACGAAGGTCAGAATGTTTATCACACGCACCTGGCTTTCATATGAAATAATGCTCCTGTGTTCCGAGACCATAATGCACGTTTCTTAATGCATCCGCTCCTGTCTGTTTGAAGAGGTTTCGGTAAAAACTTGGACTAGGCATACGCGCATCCAGCTTATGAACACCAGAGAAACGACCCTAATGCCAACATTGCACACCCAAACACGTGACGCACATCTTGCGTAAACTCAAAGCACCTTTTTGCACTCCGCGATGCTTTGTTGAGGTAAAGCGCCTACCTTTATCAGGAGCAAACTGCCGTGACGGTACCATGTGCTGTGATGGCGAAAAATACGTTCGAGCATGAGCTTTAGTATAAACATGAACAAAGTTATGTGATGGAAACACTCAGTGGAGGCAACATGCTTTAATCATATCCTGGGCATGGGATCACGCAAACATATAGAATGTCGCGGCATACTCCCCTGATTTATTTAGCATTTGTTGCGGTCATGAAAGCATAAATACGATTGAGTGATGCGAATTAAACGTAACATTCCTTCGTTTTGCGGGTATAGCTTAGCAGATCGGATTTCTAGTTTATAAAAACGCAGACCATGAAAACGGGCTAAATGGAGTAAGCGATGGTTTCGACAGGAATAGATGCTACAAATTTAACACGCGCCCGGATTGCCGCTCAGATATCCTTCGCTCGGGTGAGGGGGGTTCAGTTTGACCCCCTGGGATCTCGGGAACTAAAAAAGATAGAGACACCAAATTTACAGGATGTGTTGAACTGTACGCGATCTCACTCAGGTCAAAGTTTCAGGTTCCTAGATTATGACTTTTAGGTCAAAAAAGGTCAAACAAGGTCAAGTTCCGGGTTGGTCTTCAAAGTTCCCCAAAACCTAGATATCCGTTTCTAAGCAAAAAGTAACAGCATCATCCAAGGTTAGTGACCTTGTTTGACCTTTTTAAGATCAAGATGACCAAAAACGTACAAGGCTGCTTTGCGTTTCGCATTTGACTGAGGGGCAAAGATTACGCTAGGCCGTATGTTCCTAAAACAAAATGTTGACCTGGGTCATTTTAGGTCAATGACCTATTCTGACCTCTAAGAAGTCCACGGAACATGTATAATATGGCTCCTGCTATCAATTAACTCGAAATGAGCACCAGAAACTATCCCATACAGCAAGCCCTAGAGTAACAAAACAGGTTGGTTTTGACCTTGGTTTGACCTTCATACCTGACCTTAGGTCAGTCAGACCTGACCAGACCTTTGGTTGCTCATTCAGCTGTTGTGTTGCCTAAGAAAGCATCTCAGAGATGTATGGCTTCGTTTAACACTCCATTGTTGGATGAGATTGAAGGATTCCTTAGAAATTGCCTTCGCTGAAACCATGGTCTGACTTTGACCTGTCATAGGTCAGCGACCTTACACGGTACATCTAAATTTTTGATGCCAAACGATCCGTTATTCCATTGTCTACAGCTTGCAAAATTTGGCGCGGCTACGCCGCGCCGTTCGGAAACCATTCTGGAAAAACCTTTGGGGGGTCAATTTCACCCCCCCCCGCCCGAGCGCGTGTTAGGCCATGAAAAGCTTCAGTAGAGGTGGGAGTTAGGAAACATCCGGCTATGCCTGGAATTTTGATAGCATACAACGCCAGAGGTGGTAAGGCGAGACTTCAAGCGCATCGAATAACTTAGGCCGCGTAATGCACGGAGTGTGTCTCACAGCTACTCCATGCAGCTGTTTTGCCATCGTATAGACTATGGCTAAACAAGCGGCATCACGATTGCTGCGGAGCCGAAGGAAAACAGGCCGGATAAAGAGTCGGCCTTCTCGCAGTCTGTTCTCCTTCGA